CTCTTCCCTAACCTTTTCTGAGTTGGTTAAAGTTTCCTCAGAGTTGGGTAAAGGAGTTTCTTCTGTTTGGTTCATGTCCATGTTTAGGTCCTCTGTGAGAACCTCTTGTTCTAGAGTTTTGTTTCTTTCTTCTTCTCCTTCAAAAGAGGTGGTTCTGTTTTTCTTCTTGTTCGCTGTAAACTCTTTATATTGTAGACGGAGTTTAACTGCTTGTAGGTATTGAGGACATTCCTTTTTGATATGCCCTCCTTCATCGCAGAAGTAGCAAAGTTTTGGGGCTGAGCGCCATTCTGTGGTAATTTTGTTGTCCATAATTATGTAGAAACGTGGGATTCTTTCTTCAAGCTCTGTGTCATCTGTAGTTTCAAATGTAATAATCCATTGGTCTGTTAAATATGGTGTACCTTCAATTAAGAGAGGTTTGATTGAGGCAATTTTGCCTATGTTATCGAAGGCTTTTCTAATTTCCTCTGAGATAAGGTTCTTGTCGCCTAGTGGAACATTTCTAATTTTGATTGGGAGAAAGGATCTTCTTGCATCAGAAGGGATGTAACCAAAGTATGTTCTATTAAAGATTTGTATCCCTTCAGAAGCATAACGCTTTAGTTTCTCATTGCTTGAGAAAACTAATTCTAGGTGTGTGCGCGCACCCTTGTTGATGTGTGGCTTAGCTGCTATTATATCGCTTCCTGCAGTTTCGTGAAGTGAAACCATAATTTCGTTTAGTGAGCCAGTGAGATATTTGATATCTAGAATAAGAGCATTATCATTTCTTGATTTTATATTATTTCTTGGTGAGAAAGAGGAAAAGGTTGATTGTCCTCTTTTGACTTTAGCAAAGAGACTTGTCCAGGGCCTGTTTGGGGTTTCTTTGCTTTTGTTTACTTTACTTGAACTCGAGTTAGTTAATAATGCCTCATATGGGTTTACGCGTTTCGTTGTTGTTGGAACCGAGTCTTCTTTGTTGTTGAGTTTTTCATTACGTGTCTCGTGATCAGACGCGTCTAGTTTGTTGTTTTGATTCTCACTTTCTTTGGAGAAACCTATTTCGTTCTCTAGCGATACTTGTTCTTCCCAACTAGGAGTGCTATTATCATTGCCGTCCTGTTGTGCAGGGTCTACCGGAGTTTTAGGGATACTGTTTGTTGTTAAAGTTTCCTCTTTAGAGCAAGAACCTTTTTTATTGTATGCAGTAAGTTTTTCCATGTTGGAGTAGTCAATATATTTAATTTTCTTTGGTTTGCGGGCTTCAATAGTAGAAGTTTTGCGTTTCTTGGAAACAAGGGCAGTTGCCCCTGTTCTGGTATTGTTTTTGAAAAAAAGCGAACTCTTTACTAGATTAATTTTGTTTTTCCTAAATTACTCTCAACCCTAAACGCAGGTGGTCAGGAGAGAGAGATCGTCGATCTTTGCAATTTTTTTTTTAAACTCTATTTTTTTAATAAAAAATTTTAAATATTAATTTTAATAATATTTTTTCTAATTAAAAAAAACATTTAAACATCTACTTTATCAACTTTATTAAAAAATTTTTTAAAATTATTAAAAAATTTTTGATTAATTAAAGTTTAAAGTTTGTATAACTTTAAAGCTTACTATTAAAATTTTTTAAGTTTTTTAAAGTTTTATATATTTTTAAAGCTAGAAAAATTTTTGCTCTTAAAACAAGTATTAATTTTTATAAGTAAATTACAAAATTTATAATAATTAAAATTATAATTTTTATTTTTTTGCGCGGATGCATTTTGCATATCCTATAAGATCTAGTATAACATAAATCAAAACAAACTTTCAATGCATTAATTTAGAATAAAAGTTAGCACTAATTTAGAGTTAGGTTAGATTGTAGATAAAACTAATTATATTTAAAATTTTGCAAGAAAATTTTTTTGTTAAAATGCAAAAAGTAGTTTTATAAGCAAAATTATGAGTTACAAGCGATTTTTTTAAAATATCAGTTTTTTTTCGATTTTATGTTATACCTGATCTTATAATCTGATTAGTCAATCAGGTGGATGCGTTACAACACACATGTGCTAAATTATATAAACCTAAAATTATAATTCTTTATTCAACTATAAAGTTGTATTAGAAACTATATATTAAAATTAATATTTAAAAAGTTTGTTATAGAAAAACTAAAAAATTTTGCTTTGAAAATATTTTTAAAATTGAATTAATATATTTGTAACAACATGTTACAGTAACAATATTACAATTAGCCAATAGTAGTTAGAGTTAGAGTTTGGTTTATATAAATTTTTATTGGCTGTGCTAAGTAATTTGTTACAAATAAGTGTATAATATGTTGTTATAATTAGATATATCCTTTAAAATTATATATTTTTGGTTTATAAGTAATCTCTTATAATATAAAAATAAATACTGCAAATAAGTAAATTTTTATTTTTAAATATAATTGTACAAAGTTTCATTTAATTATTTTAGATTTTTAAAAAGGTAAATCAGAACTAAAAAATTATAAAAATATAAGCAAATTTGTTTGTTTTTTATTTTTTTATTTTATTTTTTTTTATAATCAAGGTTAGCCTCTTTGGCTTATCACTTTTATTAGATATTTAGAATCATGTGGTGCCCTTATCAAAGGGGCCTCAGACAAGTACATGTCAATCCTATCTAATCTCACCCAGAACATGCGATATATAAGTCAGTCCAAGTTCCGAGATCATCGCGTCCACCTATAGGACTACCGGCATGGTTAACCGATTCATTCTTGAGTGTATCACCTGCTAGAGCAGTCCGGTACCCACTATTCCCATATTACCTAGTCTTCTTCAGTAATTTACACCTAGGCCGAGGCCAAGTACTTGTGAGCCGAAGCCGCTACCGTTACCTACTACTGCCCTTATAGAGTTCACCCAAACTCCAGTACACCTACAGACTTTTCTTGGTCATCTTATCAATTCCAAACTACCAATTCAGATGGCCCGGAAGGGCTGTGACCTGCTCCTGATCCCCACGATTGGGTACTTTTCCTCCAGTTACTCTTCCAGCGGCCTGGTTGGTGGAGTGCCTTGCTGAATACTTCGGTTCCGTTCAGTTTATCTGGTTTTCCAGGTAGTAATCCGCATGTAGTACCGTCAAAGATCTGTGCTACCTCTCTACTCAGGACTTCCCAAGTGAGTGTCCCACCGCCGTATTGGCTCTGTGGCTTTCTGCGATTCCGAAAGACTTATCTTGGGTTTGTACCAACTAAACCGGCTTGCATGCCTTTGTGTAACTCCTTTATTACACAAATGCCCCAGAACCTTCCAATTTTTATCTTGGTATGACTACAGTTACAGGGTCTCGAGTTTTCCTAACCATGACAATAGTTGCCGAATCTGTTTTTCTAAATTCAATTTTTCGAATTCTGTGGGAATTGAACTTATACTCTACCACTTGGGGTGCAACAACTTCACCACTTCACTAAGTTGCCACACCCTATCATATATAGTTTAAGTTTATTATTTACCTTTATATGTCATATATGTTTTATGAAAATTGTATGTGATTTATTCCTTAAAAATTTATAAATTTAAATTTACTGCAATGAGAAATTTACTTAAATAAGCCTATTAATTAAAAAAAAGTTACTTATCACATTTTTCGAATTACTATAAACAGCAAATTTTATGTATCATATCAATACAAAATATCATCTATCTAATAAGATAAAAAATCTGGGTTTACTTATTTCTTACTGTGATGCAAATCATATGAAATTATAAATATTCTATTTGCTGTAAATTTACTTTAACTTTAAAGTTAGGAAGAATAGATTCTATACTAAAATTTTGCAAGGAATTTTTTTTGTTAGAACACAAGAGGTGGTTTTTTAGACAAAATTTTGAGTTATTGGCAGTTTTTTGAAAAATACCAACAAAATACTAACAGATTTCATGTTACACCTGATCTTATGATCTACATACAAAATTTTTCTTTTTTGGTTGTATCATGGTGAAATAGAGGTACGCAAAAAAATCCTACATCTAAAATGCAAAGCCTTATGGTGAATTATTAATATAGAGATGCAGTAAAAATGATTAATAAATACACTTCTATATAAATCTCTGATCCGATAAGCAATAATTATTGATTATAACCGTGGTATCAATTGTAATTGTGTTATGACCAGGGGGACTTTGTAACCACACAGCCAATTTAACTTAGGGTTGTAAGTATTGGAATGAGAAACAAAGTATTTATTATCACACACAAGGCACCAAAAAGTACTAATAGTATATTCTACCAAGTGTATCCAGTATACTAATAACTCTTTACTAATGCATAAAACTAAAAACTAAACACAAAACAACTAACTAACCAGTGCTCTATAACCCTCTATTTATAATTACTATTAAACTCTAATTAGACTATTATGCAAAATATAAAATTTGAGCTTATACTAAAATATCGTAATGAACGACAAAGTATGATAGATCATATTAACTAGAAAATACCTGTATTCTGTAAAAAACAATGTGAATATGTTATCCTGTAAAGCTATCTAATCTCGCAATAATGATCATCCTGTCACTTCATTGACAGGCTTTTCACTCTTTGATAATCATAACTTGATTTTAAGTAGTTATTACTGTGCTAACTTCTCTAAAACTATAAATGATTTGTATTATTTTTAATACTGGTGTCCTAAAACCTTAATAAAACATTTTATATACTTCTTTTTTGTTATTCTTCGCATTTTTTATTTTTTAAAAAAGTACTTTAGACTGTATAAATAATGTAAAATTATATTGATTTAAACAGTCAATCATACCTATGAAAAAATGTGAACACTGTAGATCATGATATAATGTGGGAATTAGATATTCTATTGAATTTAAGAATTTCATCGATTTCAATGAAATAAAAATGTAACTGATCAAAATATAAAATAACAGACGATCTAAAATCTCATAACTTTTCTCTGATCATTGTTAAAAAATCATGTAGTCACATCTTTTTGCAAAACCTTATTATCGATTGACAATGAACTCAAATTTTGTAATGATTGATATATTCTATATGATCTGTGAAGGCTTGGTTGATTAATAATAGCATAATTGATAAATGTAAATAAATGCAAATCAGATAAAATTCACAAAAAAATTATGTATAGTGGTGTATAAGAGAAAATAAGTTCTGTATAAAAAAAAAAATATTGTTTAATGATTGTAAATTCTACACAAAAAATAAAAATAATATTTAACCCTAATTTAAAAGAATCTCTTAACATTTATAAAACAACTAACAAATATCTATAATTACGTCCTTATAAAAAACAACTTCATAATATCTAATCTAATATTTAAATTTAAATAAACTCATCCGCATCTCTTATAAAATCCTAAGTATAACTGTAATTGCTAATAAAAACAATAACTAAAATTCTAACAATTTAAGAACAGAAGATTCATTATAATATAATTTGTATGCATTTATTAAAAGCCTATATAATATATTTAGATGCAATAAGTTATATATGAATAAAATCTCAAATCAGAGATCAATTGCTCAACAACGAAGAATGTAAAAAAAATAATAGAAAATGTACCAAATTAGAAAATACAATTTATACTCAATATAATCTTACTTATAACCCTTTACAATATGTATATGAGCGACGTTACCTTGGCCAGATGAATGTAGAATGTGTTTATTGTGGTGCACTACATTGGCTTGATGAACGTCTTACTTTGTTTACTTACAATCATCTAAAATTTGATACATGTTGTTCAAATGGTGAGGTTATTTTATCAACCTTACAAGACCCACCATTCCTGCTACATCAGCTTTTAAAGGTCAAAATGATCGTTCTAAAAAATTTCGACACAATATTCGACAATATAATGCATCACATGCTTTTACTTCTCTTGGTGCAAAAATTGATCAATCTGTTCTTGATGGTTATGGACCATATAGTTTTCGTATAAGTAGAGAATTATATCATTGCATGGGTTCTTTACTTTCTAATTCAAATGATGAAGCAACATATGCTTAGCTTTATATTTATGAACCTGAAATAGCTCATTAGTTAAGAATGCAATGTAATGAATCTTTGTCATCAGAAATAATGCAAGAAATACAAAAGCTTTTATGTAAATATCATGCATTTTATCCTGTATATAAACAAGCACATGAAATTCTTATGCAAAATTAAGAAAACCAACAAATAACAGATTTAAAAATTTATCTTCATTTTA